AACTGATCCAAATCTAAGAGGGAAATAGTAAATGCTATGTTAAATTTTCCTCAGATTTTAAGTTTCTTTTTAAGATCTCTCTCTTTAGTAATGTTAGTATTACTAATTGGACGTATTTATGCCAAAAGGAATTATGTACAAAAGATTTGAATCTGAAGGAACTATGCGCACAATCAACCCCTCCCCCCTATTTAATTTTAAATTTGATACTCATGTGTTACCATCTTGTCTCTAAAACTGCCGACTTTGAAACTTGGCTTGTTTTCGAGCGAAATATTTTCAGTTGCTTTTTATCTTTATGTCAGGGCTTGATTTACCTGGGACTAAGGAAACACCGGATAAAGAAGCTTACCAACATTGGGCGCTTGGTAACATACCCGAAGATCAGTTCCTGTCAGCTGAGTGTTTGGTGAACTACGATTGGAAAGCTGCACCCTACAAAAAAGGTGAGACCTCTCACTGAAAGGTCATGCTAATAGATAACCATGTTTTACAGATCAATAACTAAAAATATAAGCTTTGCATCGAATCAATTTTTAAATTTATGAAGGACCTCAAGTTCAAACTTTAATTGATGGAAACTTTAGAGAATCACACAAAATTTTGTCCTGCATGATAATTTACAACAAACAATGAAATAAAATTGTATTTAAGGCACACGAGATCTCAAGCTAATACAAAATCCAAAGTTAAGAGCGTCTCTCAAATACTTTGATGGGCGTCGCGATCCAAAAATGAATGCAAACTGAAGTTCTAATAACTTGAAAGCTTAAAAGTAGATAAGTCGAAACTTGCTTAAAATAAATGAAAGCTGCAGCTTTATTTACTTAATCATGACATGAATTGAAACACACTTACTCTCTTGGAAACAAAATAGAAGGAGAAATTCCGGGATAGAAATTCGGTGAAAGGCTTCATCAATGAGATAAAAACCGCCTGAATAACTTGGAATATCCAACTGAATTTTGACTAGAAGGATAAAAATCCTACTTTATTGCAGATCACGGTACATTTTTATTTTTATCTATTTAAATTCCATGCTTAACGAGAGATTATGATCCCTTGCATAGGTAAACATCGCGTCGTTTTTCTTCTTTATAGAGAGCCTGATAAGGAGGAACTGTGGAAAAATTGGGGAAAGTAAGTATGTTTTGTTTGTTAGTGCATATTTATAAGACATTAACTCTGTGCCTTTAGGTTTACATCGAGTTGTCTTCCTCTTATACAAACAGGAAGGAGAGGAAAGCATGGTGTACGATGAACGCCACTTAATGAGGAGGTAAGACTCGATGCGATTTTTTCACACTAGTCAACTGAGAGTTCTCATGAATGACATCAAAAACATTTGAGTAAATTTGCTGTAAAAGTAGATATAATTGGTGGCTTAGGTTGCAAAAATGCTTTCGCTCAATCAGTATTATTATTACACATCATATTATGAAATGGCTTAGTACTCGATGTTTCCATACCGCTACAAAATTATAAATCTCATAGTTTATCTAGTTCATTAAAAAATTAGTCCAGTGTATAGAGTATTATGTACGTTTACACAGCACAAAGAGCATTATGATCTTATGCGTATCACACTGCCCGTCCGAATAAAATGCAGTTTTATATTTTTTCCGATTCTAACGAAGTGTAATAATTGTAAAATTGTTTAAAAATGAAATTTAAATGCAAATATTGGAGAAAAGAGTACAAGAAGAAATAAAAATTAGTGCATACTTCCTCCACGAAATTCAATCTGAAACAGGTTTCATACTATGTGTAGAAATAATGAATATCTATGTTTCCGAATCTTTCCGAAGTCGTTTAATCCTTCATTTATTAACGAACCTGTGGAACGTTATATTTAAGTACGAATGAGCATGCTCAGTAATTGTTGATTTTTGAAAAGTAAAGAGTTTCACGGCGGAGGGGNGGGGGGGGTTACTTGGTCAACAGTTTACCGTGCCTGTAGTGGGAGGGATATTTTAGGGCGTCATCTTGATTCCCCCGACGATGCACGTTCACATGGGAATTCAAAATACGCAACTTTGAACTGGTTTTTTTGGCTGAATAGCCGAGGAAATTCCTGTATGAATTAAACACTCTCTACTTTTCAAAAATTCTCGGATTTAAAATTACCTTACAAGCTCATTTCTATACAAAATAAAAATATTTCGCGTGATAGTCCTACAAGAGCTTTGTTACTGGTTTCATGAGTCAGAAATTCCATATGAATAATAAATTTTAAAACTTTTCTAATTTTAAAATGAACTTCATAATTGTTTTTTTGTTTTCAGTAATATTGAGGTGCCAAGAACCTACTTTAATACCACAAAATTCAGCTTGAAGTATAATCTTGGTGACCCCGTGGCAGTAAATTTCTTCATTGCAGACGTTAAGGAGGACCACACGGATAGGGCGCTCCATTGGACGGGCTTCGACTCATAATTGTTAAATATATATTTTCGAGGGTATCGAAACATGCGTAAAAATGGACTGTTATTGGATTGTTACTAACATCTGCGGCATTGAATAATGACATTGCAGAGTTGGGCGTTTTCTGACTCTTTTTTTTTTTTTGAATTTAAGTATATTAGCATAGTATAATGGCCTTTATATACTGTGATGGTGTTAAATAATAAAACAGAGGGTAGATAATTGTTTCACTTTTGAAATGGTCTTCATGTTAGCTCTTTTACTTCCTCGGGGTACTCGCACAAATATTGGCCAAATTACTTGTAGTAACATTCATATTTTTTTAGTATCTTTAAACGACTTTTTTTTTAAAATGGAAAGTACAATATCTGTAACGTGTAAGTAGAATCTTCTTAACTGTAGTAACCAAAAATTCAAATGACAATTAGGTATGTTTAATTCTTTTGACATATTCATCAAATGGGCTAAAGATGTGCCTAAGAGAATGGGAAAAAACTAGAATTGTGGCCGGAACACAACAAATGGGCGTAATTCTGCTGAACAAAATTATAGACGAGTGGGGAAGGTGGGTTGTGCTCTAGAAAGCAGCGTTAGAAACAATGCAAAAATGGGCATGTTACTCTTTGGGGAAATGGAAAATCAGGATGTTACGTTTTACAACACGGAACTAAGAGTCAACTGTATGCCGTACTCGTGAGCCGTGGGCATATGATTACAGCGTTGTGGGCTCATGACAATTACATTTAAGAAGACAAACTGAGCCAACACAACTTAACATGTAAATAAAGCAGAGGAATGAAAGGATGCTCGTAGATGACGGCGCAGAGATACAACTATTCGTACATGATGGATGTCCGTGTTGTATCTGCAAAATTGAAGGCGCGATGGTGCGAGGCGTGAACTTGCAATGCTCCGCTCTACGCTATCATTAAGGTGTCGCTCAGGAGAAAAGCTACAAAACGAAGCCGGGTCAAGTCATTCCTATCTTTGGTTTTGCTGCTCAAGTATAGCACTTTAAGCACCATTACATTTAAGAAGACAAACTGAGCCAACACAACTTAACGTGTAAATAAGGCAGAGGAAGGAAAGGATGCGCGCAGATGACGGCGCAGAGATACAACTATTCGTACTTGATGGGTGTCCGTGTTGTATCTGCAAAATTGAAGGCGCGATGGTGCGAGGCGTGAACTCGCAATGCTCAGCTCTATGCTATCGTTAAGGTGTTATTCAGGAGAAAAGCTAAAATTCCTATCTTTGGTTTTGCTGCTCAAGTATAGCACTTTAAGCACCATTACATTTAAGAAGACAAACTGAGCCAACACAACTTAACATGTAAATAAAGCAGAAGAATGAAAGGATGCGCGCAGATGACGGCGCAGAGATACAACTATTCGTGCTTGACGGATGTCCGTGTTGCGTTTGCAAAATTGAAGGCGCGATGGTGCGAGGCGTGAACTTTCAATACTCCGCTCTACGCTATCTTTAAGGTGACGCTCAGGAGAAAAGCTGAAAAACGAAGCCGGGTCAAGCTATCCCTATCTTTAGTTTTGCTGCTCAAGTATAGCACTTTAAGCACCATTACATTTGAGAAGACAAACTGAGCCAACACAACTTAACATGTAAATAAAGCAGAGCATCTTTAACTCATGAGTCATGAGTTAAAGATTCCCACGCGGAACCGCGGGGGTGTTTTCGTTGACACTGACGTCACTGGTGCTTTATAATTCCCACTCATTTTTATAGCTCTTAACCAAAGGAGCACACCCCATCTTTGCCATCCGTTCATAGTTCCGTTTAGTAGAGATACGTCCAAATATTAGTCATATAGAATGGTAAAACAGTGCCGGGTCCAGGCTATTATACTGTCGTGCCAAGGAAAAACGCCGAATGGACATTCGAGAGTTGCCAAATTTCCTTCGATAAAATGTTTGTTTTTGTGAGGAAATCTATGAATATTTTTCTTGAAATTTTTAGAAACTTTGGGTGGAATTGCGAACAAAATTATATGAAAAATTGGGGAAAAAATATTGACAAATATTCCCGAGAATTCGTGATTTACCGAAGGAAATTTGGCAACGCCTGAAGGTTCATACAGCGTTCTTCCTCAGCACGGCAGTATACAGGCTCATATGATTAGTGCCCCCCCTCTCACTCTCTCTTCTTCTTGAGTTCTCCCTCCCTTTTTCTTTTCCTTACCCTGCATTAAAATGGTTTTCCAGGCAGTCCACAAATCCACCTCCTCCGCACACGAAGCATCTGACGTCATTCATGGATATGGTCTTTTATCTTATCTTATATGCATCCTGTACTTCTTGATGAATTTCATGATTAGAGGACAGTAACACAGTGACACAATAACACAGACAGTAGATGTTTTCCTGTGTCAATGTAAACATGGTCGATCAGCTGTTGCGTAACAGTGATGAAAATTTCAGTTAAAAACCAAGAAATTAATTCCGTTTTTGGAGTCTTTTTACGTAATTTACTTTAAGTTCCAATTTCAAACCACACCTATACAAACGAAGAACATAAATATTTCGCTCCTTCTTTTTTTATACCGATTCTTGGTAAAATATTAGAGTAATAATTGTGTCGATAGAAATTAGACCTCAATAGTGTCAACGCGCACAGCTAGTGCATCAGCAGCAAATGTGCTAACTGTGTAAGTTAAAGTAAATACCGAGGTGTCTTTAAAAATAAAATCTGGTGTTTCAATGTTTACTTATTTTAGAGACCTTGGAGCCCCAAGAATGGTCACCAAACAAGACCTTCGAATGGAATTGTGGAACTTGTTGTAGCTATACTACAGTTCAAAATGCTTCATGTACACTAATTTCAATTTGAAAGGTACTTTATTTTAGTGTGCATCTTTATGAGAAAAATATACTACTTTATATTCCAGAAAAACAATTGAGTATTCA